CGGCGAGCTAAGCGAGCTCGGCGTCACCGACTGGTCCGTCACCGCCAGTATCTCCTCCGTCTCGGTTCCGCGCACTGTCGGGAGTTCAGATAGGGACTCGACCGACAACACGGGCCTTGTCCGCGCGTTGCGCGTGAGTCTTCTCACCGAGTCGGACGGTGCTTGAGGCGACGCGAACGAGGTCGCCTGTCTTCGAGCCGAGCGGTGCGTCTCGCCTATCGCTTGCGCGTAGCATGCCACCGCTGGGTAGTCCACGCCCGGATGCGTCGCGAGATAATTCCGCACCTGCGCGCACGTCGCTGGCAGAAGTTCCTCAACGAAAAGGGACTTCAAGCGCCTGTCCGAAAATACGGTTCCGCAGCGCAACGCCTTGTCCCACAACTGGTTACTGTACACCTCCTCCGTCATATTAGGGCTCTGTCGGAAGGAGGTGACATCACCGACCGCTTCGGAAATAACTTCGTCCGTCGCGTACGTGCGTAATAAAAAGTTAACAACTTCCGCGTAGGTTTCGAGCATATCGCGCTGCTCCGCATCGACTGCCATGGTGTTCCCGTGTAGCCTGGACTGGAGCAAGGCGTGAGCCTGCTCAGTCAAATAGAACTGGAAACACCATACGGCCGCGCCTTCGCTGACCCCATTTTGGTCGCAGGCCATCTTGAAGCGCGCGAGAAACCCTAGCACCGCGATTGGATCTTGACCACCGAACGTGTGGGTTTTCAGCTGGACGTCCAACTTCTTCCGATATCGGTTAACTCGCCGCGCGGTACTCGCGTCGTAGCGCGCGCTGCGACTTTCCAGCCTATACGTGCGGTAGTCGACGGCCTTGGTGAACAGGTCGTTCAGCGGCCTGATCACCGGCAACCGTTTCGGATCCCGCCTCGGGGCAGGCCGGCGGTCTCTGCCCCTGTGATAGCGATCTCCTTCTCCGCCAGCGCTACTGTAGCCCTCCGGATCGGAGTCTTCTCGCCGGAACCGACGTCGGTCGCGCGCATTGCGGCCTCTGCGGTCGCTTCTGCGCGATCCGTCCGACTCGGTGTCCTCGTCATCGGAGGGCTACCACCACCTCCGGCATCGCGGTATCGCGTATAGCGTCCTTCGCGGTTATCATCGGATGGGTAACTGACCCCTCCGGCATCGCGGTGTCGCGCGTAGCGTCCGTCGTGGTTCTTGCGCGTCGCCCTGTGGCGACGTCTTGTGTCTTCTTCCTCGGAGGGGTTTTCTGTACCCTCCGAGGTGTAGCCTTGGGCGCCGGGTGCGCTTCTTCTGCTCGCCCGATACGGCTGTCGCTTTTCTGTCGCGAAGCGCCCCAGGCGGTTTTCTGTCCCGCGGGGGCCAGCCGTATCGGCGAGTACGTGAGGGCCATTTTCTGTGGGCCCTCCTGTAGCACCATAAATTGGTGGGAGGTAAATGGTCTTACCCTCCGGGTGAGGGGCCATTGTACCGATCCCGGGTGCGGCGCCGATCGGTTCAGCGTGCGTTAGCGTAGAATCCGGAGCGGTTGAGTCGTGCTGCTCGCGTGCGTCGACTCCTGCTCCGGCGAAGGTCGTGGCCAGACGATTAGCAACGGCGGAGCTGATCGCTCTCTTTAGAGCCGTACCGGACGGGGATTCTTCGTCCATAGTAGCGAGCGCTGTCACCACCTCGCGTTAGACTAGAGCGGGTAGTAGCTCGTCCAAAAGCGGCGGTATCGCGCTGCGCACGTGCTCGTCTACGAGTGCGGGCACCGTTCGGTCGAGGCACACGCGCGCGACCTGGGGGAGTTCTGTAGTGAGGAACTCCTCGACCCAGGCCTGCAGGCGCGGCTGAATCGCGTCGATCATCCATTGGACGCGATTCACGGTGCCTGCCGACGCGGCCGGCGAAACATCCGATGCGGACGCTCGCGCGCGGCCCGGTCGCGGTGGCGGCCGCAGCAGGGCTTCCGGGTTCTCCACCCGGGGGCGCGGTGCGCCACTGCCACTGCGGGTGATCAGACGCCCGGAGGCAGAGTCTCCCCCTTCTTCCGGTCGGTTCATCGTCGAATACGCTTCGCGATCGACGCGATGATATCTCAACCTTTTCCGTCCGGACGGTTCTGCGCGCGATCGAGCGACTACGCGTGCGGCTCAACCGCAAGAGTTATCCCCTCCACAAGAGTACCAAAATGTGGGATAACTCCTCTCCGCCCTGGGTTGGGTGAGAGGCGGAGGCTATAGCGAGGGAGCACGCGGCGTGGACGCGACGCGCTAATTGAACCGATCGGACGAGCTCGCGAAAAGGGAGTGGCTCACTGGCCGGTTACGCGCAGTCGCCCCGTGGTGCGTGAACGGGAGCGACCCGTACCGGGTTAGAAGCCAGCGCGCGCGATAGACAACCGAAACGGACGTATATAGGCGCGAAAGGGACAGGGGCGAGCCTGCCCCAGTTTACTGGTAGGGACGGGTGTCAGGTCTTAACCCCTCAGAGGGACGCCTCGGACCCCTGTCCCAGTACAGTAGTACAGTACCTGCCGCCTAGTGCGTGCCAGGTACTGTACACAATTAAAATGCTAGCTCCATAATTACTACTACTGCACGGACGCTGCTACTACACGTGTGCACTACTCTACACGCGTGGTGCTTACCGACTACCGCACGGACGACACGTGTGCTAACGCGCACACGTGCGCCACGCCACGGCTGGTTGGTCAACGCGTGTGCTACTGTACACGTGCGCCACGCCACGGCCGGTTGGTCAACGCGTGCGCTCCCTACACGTGGGCACACCCGCCCACGTGTGCACCGTGCACGGTCGTCTGTACTGTAGACTAACGCGCGCGCCGGTCGTTATATTACAAGGCACAGGGTCGACGTACTGTGCCCCGGGCTCAGCCCCGTTCCCCGTCTCTAAGGGGAAAATCAGGCCTCGATGAGGAGGTTGTTGGATTGGTGGATAATTCGAAGGGGCCGACTCAAGTCAAGAAATTCTTGAGTCGAGTCAAGGATCGTCCGCTGGAAGAAATTCGGAGACCCTGGTACATGGCTAAGCGAAGGGAGAGTCCCGAGAAGATCTTGGTTCTTGCGCGAAAAAAGTACAAAGTTTACGCGGACATTGGACCAACGGCTGGATTGATGAACCGGGTGTCGTCTGTATGAGACACCGGCGCGGGACCAAACCTTGTGCGAAAATCGGAACTCCCGGCTGGAATGGAATCTCTAGTGTTCTTCGGACCGACCCAGGACATCGGCGATGCGGACAACGGGCCACTCGGAACTCTCGGCACAATTAAAATGCCTGTGAGGCCTGGACGTTTCGTGGCCGCAGCCGAGTTTATTGTATGTGAAAAACTCGCAGTCCCGCTAATTCTAGGGGCGGACTACTGTGACCGGTTTGTGGAAGCAATTTATCCAAAGAAGAAAACGGTTGAGTTGGCGGACTTCTCTTAGGTTCCGATAGTTAGGCGGTTCTCGCCGAGAAAAGGGAAGCAGAATCTCGTCCCGGAAGAGGACGAGAATGATGGAAAGGGGTCCCTCTGAGGGGTTAAGACCTGACACCCGTCCCTACCGGTAAACTGGGGCAGGCTCGCCCCCGTCCCTTTCGCGCCTATATACGTCCGTTTCGGTTGTCTATCGCGCGCGCTGGCTTCTAACCCGGTACGGGTCGCTCCCGTTCACGCACCACGGGGCGACGGCGCGTAACCGGCCAGTGAGCCACTCCCTTTTCGCGAGCTCGTCCGATCGGTTCAATTAGCGCGTCGCGTCCACGCCGCGTGATCCCTCGCTATAGCCTGCGCCTCTCACCCAACCCAGGGCGGAGAGGAGTTATCCCACATGCCTCTCTTGACTCATGCGAGATTCCCCTCTCTAGTTTTCTTTCTGCTGCGGGTTCTTCTTTCCCTCCGACCAGGGCCCCGCGGCTGGCCTTCTTGACGGTCGGTTCGACCCGTTGGCGGAGGCACTCGGTGTGCTCGCCGTCTGAGAATCGAACCAATTTTTGACCCTCAAATAATTGGTCGATGGAATCCCCAATCTCTCCATCGGAGACAACGCCTCGTGGTTCCCCAGAACCTTGTGCCTTTACCGAAGGGAAAGTATGCACTTGGGCGCGGCGTGCCCTTTTTCGTAGCAATGAAAGCATATGAGCCCATGCTTCTTGACAGGGTACTGCGGCCTTGGCCGTCCGTTAATTTGCGGCCTTCCTGTCCAGCCTGGACGTCGGAACTGGGTACCCTTGTCCTCCATTCCTCGCGGGTGAATTCGCGTTCTCGAGCTTTCGGTTGACTTCGTGTTCTCTAGCTTTCTGCTCGCGGGCGGCAAGCTACGGTAGGTAAATGGCCTGGGGGTCCGTATGCATAGAAGTTTAGTCGCGCGGCGGGAGTTAGTGGGCGGGTTGGGAGGGGAGAGGAGGATAGTGAGCTTGTGGCATACTTGAGGGTTGATGTGGTGGGGGCGGAGTCGTGCGTCAGTCAAAAAGGGATAGAGGGGCTGGTGATGCGGGACGTAATGGGGATGGTCGCAATGGATCGGGCGGAGGTGTTGGTGTGAGAGGTGGGCTGTTGGCGAGTGATACATAACATGGTGGAGCTGGTGAGGGATAGGGTGGATCAGAACGGTTGCTGGGGGGTGTTGTGGTTGTTGGTGATGGTGGCGGAGGAGGGAATTTTGGTATCTGAAAAGGCGTGGGTGGTCGCTGTGGACCGGACGATAGGGGTCATCGGGTGGGGTTAGAGAGTGTTGAAGCGGGGCATGTCGTGAGTGTCGGGGAGGGCATAGTGCTGGTTGAGCATCTGTCGCCGGAAAATTTGTTGCTGTTCGCTTTGGCGCTGCTGCTGTTTGCGGAAGTAAGCCGGGGGCGACGATTTGATATTAATTGGTATGAGCCTATGTGGAACCAAAGTGTATGGGCATGCTCATCATACCATGGGATGGCATGGTGTGACCATGGATACGGAAAAGAGCTTAGTCATTACCTCGGCGGTTCCAGAGATGATGAATGGGATCAACCTTCAAACGATGGTGTTCTACGTCATTTGATACCTCATGATACCTCTCTGCCACCCCTTGCACCCAAGTATCCGTGGTACCGCTGATAATAGGCATAATGTTATTTGCACGGCAACCTATTTTATCAACACACACAGACTGAACAGAAGGCTCATCCGTAAACACCATTTCACTGATTCCAGTATTGTAATCGTCCCAGCGTCCATCCACGACCATATTGTCGAGGATCACACACGCTTTGACAAGGTAATCCAAATCCGTTTTGTACCACAGCTTAATCGGTCGCTACAGGATGTGCCACCGTGCTATTAAAATTCCAAAGGCCCGTTCGACATCCTTTCTTACACTCTCTTGCGCCCGGGAGAAGTTCTTGTCCTTGCTTGAATTTCCACCGTTGCTTATTGTCTTCACAAATACCGCGTAGTCGGGGTAAATTCCGTCAGCTAGAAAGTATAGCAGGTTTCTTGTGACTCCATTCACAACGTAGTCCATGAGGAGCGGGAAGGATCCAGAAAGAATACTGCCCATCGTAGGGGATTTGTCGAGGACGTTTATATCGTTGAAGGAGCCTGGAAGACCGAAAAATAAACCATAGCCAGCATTCACTATCAGAAATGCCTTTCAGGACGATTGTTGGCTTCTTCCCCTTGCCTTTGTGGGCACCAGCCAGAATCGCCGGACAAGATTTCCACTCGTAGTCTTGACAGTCGATACTGGCGACCATCCCCGGGAATCCCGGAGCAGCATTGATTCTCAAGAGTCTCCGCAGGTCTACAGTGGTGGAGTTTCGCATGTACTCTGTACCAAATTCCTCGACGACTTTGCTAGTGTACGCTTCAAAGATATCATGGCTGATGGCCCAGACAACCTACAGTGCTCATCAATAGAGTCGGAGGCAGTCCTGTATGCCATTATTCTCAATGCCACGGTTACACGCTGGAGTGGGTGTATGCCCAAGTTCCCGAGAGCATCAGACTTCCAGGAAAAGAAAGGACGTTCAGATATCGCATCGTAAACTCGCTTGAAAACGTTTTGTAGCATTCGAAAGCGGCGCTGAAAGTCATTGTCGTCATAAACGCACCGCTCGTCGAAGTAGTCTTTCATTATTCTCTGAAATCCTTCTTCAAAGTTTCGCACTTTGTTTGGACTCCGTCCCGCCCGAGAACCTCCGCGCTGCTTTGCCGCTGCAGCATGCACATCGGCGGCGCGTGATGCGTGCATGCTCACGAAAATACTTTCATCATCGCCATCGCTGTCGTCCATGCACTGAACGACAGTTCCGAGGACTTTTCTCGGGTCCATTGGCGATGAAGCTGCGTGAGAGGGCGTAGTTGAACAGTACTAGAGGGAGGGCGCGCGGCGAACAGGATCGGAGGGCACGGATTGCGGAGGAGAGACATGCAGCCGGGAGGGACTCACGGCGAGGGGTGGGCGTCTTGATGAACGATCGCCTCTACGAGGACGATTTGTGGCGTCTCGCCGCTGTACGCGCGGGCATGCAGCGATGGAGTTACAAATATGCGTTGGGGTTGACGCGAATAGAATCTACGCGAATAGAATCTACGCGAATAGATTGACGATTCGCCACAAAAATATATTCGTGCAACCGGCGAATAGTCAGCGCACACGTTTCATTTCTATCCGGCAATAGAATCGACGCGGTGGGGTTGCTCTAAAGTGGCGAGATGAGGCCCTTCACGACCGATACGCTCATCGCCAGCTCGGCGGTTCTCAACTGAAGCTGGTCCCGACTAACCAACTGATCTAATTACTCCGTGCGCCTCGCCTCTCACACATGAACGCATCTCGCCGCTTTCTACCGCCACAGATTCGGGCAGCTGTCGCATTTGTTTCAAGGCGTGCGCGGAGCTCGAGCGAAATTTGAGTCGCAAATTCAAAGCAGACCGACAGACGTTGCCACGAAATTTGACGGGCACCATTGATGAACAATGAGCAATCATCGACCAGATGTACGCTTCTTCGCCTTGGCCTGATATGAAGCGTCTCCATTATATGCCAGCGACTCTGTCTAGACGTCCACACACCTGATCGTATCTGCACTCGGCGTACTTCCAGCATACCCCCTTTTACACAAACCACCCCAACCGAACATGGCGGTCAGCCCACGAGTGATGCTCGCAGTACGAGTTTTCCTGATTTTCCTCCTGTCGACACTCGCGCATGCAAATGACGTCCAGCTCGCCGCCCACACCTCCGTCATTGCTGACATCTGCGTCTCGCTGCACCGCCGGTGCATCCAGCCACCGACCGTAATTGGCTGCGAGGACGTCTGCCGGACACACACAGTTGACACAAATCTCGTTCTGCTGCCTGGACAAAGCTCGCCCTGCGCCGCTGGTGCGCCGCCTAAGAACGGCTCTTCGTGTGCTTCATGTCGTCATGCGGATGGCTGGCGGCAGGTTAGCTTTCATGGACAGTGTGGTGCGGCGAGTTTGTCGTACTTCCTGTCGCAGACTACGCCGGAATTCGTGGAGGGGCTTAGGGGGCTTCCCGGGAAAGTATGTGAGGACAGGCGCGATGGCAACGTGTTCTCGCAAGCGCTTGTCGGTGAGGTGGGGCGCATCTTTTGCGCTTCGGGATCAGTACCGATCCCTTTAATCAGGAAGGAGCAGTCGGTATCAGACTCTCCGGCGGTATCTGTGCGACGGCCGCATGGGTCAAGGCCTGTGAAGATGTGCGGGCGGACGTTGCGTCATTGCTTGAAAGGTGCAGGGGCGCGAAGAAGACTCTCGCGTGTTCGGGGGTGTTGCAGGGGTCTCTGCAGGTGTCTGAAGAAAAGGAAACAGACGTGCCTGCCGGTGTGCATGCGGAAGATGTTCCGGCCTGGAGAGTAATACAGAGTGAGTCTAGTGGGGTGTAGCACAGAATTGCTGCGAAAGGATAGGTTTCCGGCTTGCTCAAACGCGTAGAGGCATGATGAGGTTGTAAGATTGTTCTTTTGTGATTTTTTCCCTTGTTTTCTTCCATCAACTGGATGAAGTCTTGTTGCCCAAATGGCCTCCTTGTTGCCTGCTCACTATCCACTTTGCAACAGGTCTGCCACGTAGAGTACCAAGGGTACAGTAGGCTGTATTAATTAAGCTGTGAGTTCCGAAACACGAGAAAATATGTTGAAAGTGGCACTTTTGATATGTGCTATCTCCGCTTTGCACCACACCGAATTGCTTCTGCCAGAATCAGGTGCCAGAACATAACCAGACTGGCACACTCGGTTCAAGGGTAATGCCCAAAACCCTGTTTCGTTCTTTCTCCTCATGCTCATGAGATTATTGGCATTGTTGCCAAAAGGTAGATCGGCCAGTGCCCACTGATAGGTGGGTGGTGTACCGACTAATCTTGGTTGCACACCAGCGCACATGAATTGCCACGACATGCAGCTTACAAATAGAGAAAAGAATGTCTTGAGGTGCATCCTTTGAAGGGTACAGTATAGTGATGTGTCCACGGTATTTGAAATACCAAATATTGGTTTCCACCACGCGCTAGACGAAAAGAGATTTGTCTCCTACGGGCCACCTTATTTTTGCAAAAAATTAAATCCAATTCGGATACTATTTCTTTACCGTAATCGCCCTCAACAATAACATCTTGCACAACATCGGGATAGCAGTTTTGAATACACTGCAAGACTGATAATCTCATGAAGTTTCAATGCCCACTTGCCAGTTTAGAAGGGCGTTTTGATTTCTAAGATTCCAACAACGTTTCATGGTTGCTCAGAAAAGCTTCTTTTCCAGACACTTCTGAAAACGACCGGATTGGAAATTCGGTTCCCACACAAACCTCCGTCCTTCCGTAACACAGAAGTCAAGTGCGGTGGCGAGGGGGCCTTTGTCCGTCTTAGTGAGTAGGCTCAATCATATGACGCTACTTTTCATGACTCGAGGCATGAAAAGAATAAAAAGTAGCGTCATATGAAGTCACTTGTCATTTTGACAATAGGGTGATCGCTAGGATAATTGTGACTGCACGGCAGTGTGCAGCGCGCATGCTGGGCACCTCGCTTTTTGTGCATCAGCCGAAAACCAATTTTGTGATCGCAAAGTTGTTATCTGAAATTCCGAAAGTTCAGATAAAATATGCTGCTGACATTGGATTGTCATACCAGCATAAACTCATGAGCCTGAAATCCGTGCCTCCCGAGACGTATCATGACAAAACCCTTTCTTCTTAAATGCGATATGCGGTCGTGCTAAAAATTTTAGCATTGCACTTTCTTTTTGGAGGTGATGGTAAATTTCATTTACCATCACCTCCAAAAGGAACGCGAGGCATTTTATGCGTTTCCCAAAGGGAAACCACTGAACAACTATTAGCAATACTACTTGCTGTACGTTCTCCTTCGGTTACGTTCTCCTACGGTTACGTTCTCCTACGGTTACGTTCTGCTCACTGGCAAACTTGCCATGCACTGAATCTATTGCACTCGAAACGATGAGTCGACCAAAAATAGGAAATGGGAATCATCAAACAAACCATAGAAAATCAGTGACCACAAAAATTTTAAATGTTCATGTATAGATATAGATAGGTGGATGAGCAATTGCACGGAGCTTTTTTCCTCTGCTGCCCATGTTTGCTCTCACCATCGCTGCCTGCTTCCACACTCCATTCAATTTTGATTTTTTATTGTTGCCATGGATCAAACGGATTTGAGAAAGAAACATAGTCTCGCTTGAGGAGTGCGGCCGCGGCCGCTGGCAGGCATACAACACCACTGAGCTAAGTATATATATAGAAGAAGGTTGCAGATCTCAGCTCCACTACGCCTTCACACGCAACAGTTGCTTGCGCAGAAACGAAAACAAGCCAACACTCTATCCGACACAGATCGCTACCTTTGAAGTGGAAGAAGAATGTGGGCAACACGTACCCTTGTGCCCGCTCTTCTGATGGCAGCCTCGTTCTGTCACCAGGGGTTATCGACCCCAATGAAGTTCACTGAAACACCCAAGCTTGGCTTGACTTCCGCTCGCCAAGAACTTGGTGAATGGGCTGATTGCTCGGTATCTCCCGGTCTTTGTATTAACACCAATGTCTACAGCTGCGCTAGCGGTACAATTGTTACTGGGCAGTGTCCAGGGGGTTCCAACATTCTATGCTGCACCGCTCCAGGCGGCATCAAGTATGGACAATGTGATGCCGCACGAAATGGCTTGTGCAAGAGAACCGCAGACTGTCCGACACCACCGGAAACGGGTTTGTGCCCCGGTCCTTCCGGTGTGACATGCTGTCCCAGCGGTGGCACAGTGCCAGTCCCGATACCCTCGGGCGATGTACCTGTGGCACCTGGAATCTATTTAGAATCCAACCCGCCTCAGACGACACAATTTCGCGCAAGACAAGCCCCCCCTCGACCGGTAATTGTAGTGCACACGGCAGAAAGTGGCCCCTTCCCCGCCGGATCCTCGGACGAGAGGGCGGAGAATACAGCTGGATTTATCAGAGGCCGTTCTGATCCCGGCTCGTACCACTTACTCGGGGACACAAACTCGATCATTCAGCTTATCGCTTTCGACAATGCGGCGTTCCATGACGGGACTGGGAGTAATGAATGGTCAATCGGTATTTCACTGGCAATGAATGCAAATGAATGGCCGACGTTGGAGGCATCGGTTAGGGACAAGCTAGTTGGAGTAGCAGCGCAAATGGCAGAAATGGCTGCGGAATGGTTCGTCTCTAAAGGATTGCCAGCACCAGCAGCAAAAGAGCTAACTTTGGATGAGAGCAACCAAGCAGGCGCGTCTGGGTTTGTCGCGCATGGAACGCGAGATCCGGGGAGAAGGACAGACCCAGGAGAATTCTTTCCGTGGGATAACTTCCTGGCTGCGTATCAGGCAAGAATCAATGGCTCTTGAGCAATTTGACTCTCTCAGCAGCTGTTTCAAACAGAAGCAAGCAGCTTGCACAGTATATAGTGCTATCCATCGGCAAATTTGAATGTAGCGGTAATGGCCGCAAGGCAATAAAGTCTTTCCACTTCATGTGCTCTTGATAGGTGCCTCACTTTCCATCATCACGGGAATCTCCGATGCGTCTCCTGAAGTGAAGCTGTGTAGTACTGCAGAGGATCGTGCCGGACAAACGATAGTACATATGCAATTTAAAAAAATCGAGAGCATAATATGGAAAGGACCAGCCATCAGGTGACTTGAACATATCCGGTAGTCTTATCTGGGGGTCAGCAGTACCTCCTCTTATACATAAATACATCATCTTGGCGTTCAGGATGCCCGTGTATTGGAAACTTCCTTTATCTCTGTTGGTTCTCGCCGGTTGCATTGCCCCAGCATGAATGCAGTACACCCAGTTACTGCAAATAGTGTAAGTGAACAATTAGTGAAACTACGTCAAATACTGAAAGTGTGTCTAATATGTGTGCATTGCTGCGAAACCAAAATAGAAATAGTGACACACACACCAAATACGGTTTCAACCCGCGATTTCATTAAATCATGTTTTTGCGCGCAATTGCGCGCAAAAACTGCCAGATAATGCTGCAAAATGAAAAAATCACCACTTCGGCCTTCTTCAGGCGACCCACCGATAATCGCGATCAACCATCGAAATCGAGATCCCCCATGCCTTCTTAGGGTCCCTGTAGCCCATCTCCATCATGGCGATGTAACGTGTAAGTCGTGGCTACCATTGTCTGAAGTCGTTTCTTCATGAAGAATCATGAAGTTTCTCAGTTTCTGCATGAATAAACAAGCAAAAAGCAAAAATGAAAAAACAACCCGAAATCGCGGGTTTCAACAATATTAGTGTAACCCCAAACTTAACTGATTTAATTGTTGAGGCAGGTCAATTGCAGGATCGCTTCTGTGGTTCGGTGATGGAAGCACGTACTGTAACGTGTTAGGCGACGACGAAATCGCTGCCATTACAATTAGCCGGCATACAACAGATCCTTTCCCATCGTGACTTCCCAGCATTGTGA